TAAAAAAATTAATCCTATCTACCAAGGACACTCAAGAAGGGAAGTTAGACCCTAATTGGGAAGGACCTTACATGGTGATAGAAGTTGTAAGATCAGACACCTATAGAATTCAGAACTCTAAAAGGAAAGCCTTGGCCCATCCATGGAATGCCAAACACCTGAAGAGGTTTTATCAATAGTGAGGTACAGGCCAGTGACTTTCATTTTAGTTGTCTTTTGTTGGTTCAACAATTCCTTTTGTTATCTGTTATTTTAAATTGTGAAATAAAACTTTGCAAGAGTTATTTTGTCTAGAACTATCTTTCATTCCATAGAAGTTTGTAAACAACTTACAAAAATCAGAATATGACCAAACAACAAAAAGGTAGAAAACAGATAAAATTTGTCATACTCCCGATGATCACTCATTGTTCCCCGATCCGCTCTCATCAAAACTCTCCCCGTCACTATCCGTCACTGGTGCCTCATATGGGACGAAGGTAGAAAAGTTAATAGTAGGGAAAGCTACTGAGGCCTTCACCCTAAAGTCCTCATAACCGACAGTAAAAGCACCTTGTAACGGCCCTCTTGGCAGCCTCTCTCCTCCTCTCCATCTCAATGGAATGAGCCTCTGCCCTGATAGCTCTCTCACAAGCTACTCGTTGGTCAGTCTTTGGGACATCAACCTTCTCTCGAGCTATCTGTAGCTTAGTCTCAGATCTTATGGCCCTTTCGCGGGACGCTCGCAGCTCTGACTCTGCTCTCGCGCAAACAGTCTCCCTATCAGCCTCTAGCTTCGCGGTCTTCTAGTGGGATGCTAAAAGCTCAGCCTCAATAGGTGCAGCTTTCTCATGAGCTAGCCTTAATTGTTCCTCAGTAGCCTCTCGTGCCTGTCTCTCTTTTTCCAGATCCCTTGATGCCTCGCCAAGCTTGATCATCCTCGAAAAAAGGTAGGGAAAGGCAGCCGCCACCTACAAGCATACAAAAAGCAGAACATAAAAAAGGGGCAAGTGCAAATATCAAGGTTGGATATTAAGAAAATATACCATAGGGAATCCCTCCATCGTAGTATCTATAATGCTCTCTGGACCTCGAGAGTTAACCTCCCTGATATCCATAGCTGTCACAAAGTTGTAAAGTCATTCCTTGGCTAGATTCACGTCTTGCAGCATGGTCATCGAGCCACTACTAGAAGCCAGATAGTTACATGGAGCTCCAGTCGTCGTAGAAGACCGCACAGGATCTCAACTCCTAAAGCGATACTAGGGCTAGCCCTAGCACCCGATAGGCCCCATGTTAAGAAGGGGCGAGGGCACCACCGGATCTCCTCTCTCGGGAAATAATAGGGCCATCGGACCTCGGCTGAGAAGCACTAGAGGCGTCAGGTTTCGCCTTCTTGGGAGGAGGGGAAGATGCCACCCTAGAAGTGTATAGAGCCTCCACCATCACTCTATTAACAGTAGCAGCTGTGGAATTGGCGTAAGAAGAAGAGTTTACAATCATCAAGTTTATTGAAAGGGTCAAATACCTTTCCTTTTCTATCTAGGGGAGGCTCTGAAGTGACCTGATGCAGACATAAGGGCCACAAATATCTTGGTAGGATGATCCCTCACAACCTATAGCCTGTTCTCTTGCTCCGTAGATAATACGGGTGAAGTTGCAAAGGAACCAAACATATAGTGAATATAAGAGACTTGATAGTCGTTCATAAAAGTAAGGGTAAAACTCATACCTAGGTTGGTCCTTAGAAGATTATCCCACTTTGAGGGCACCAAGTCACGGTCTTTCTCGGCAGCCCACTCATCACCAACGACGAAAAACTTGGATTTTCAACTATGACAGTTCATCCAGTGATCAGCTTGCCGGACCTTGGAGCAAAATGGTACCATCCCTGATGAGGAGTAGGATTATCCAAAAGCACGTACGAGGCTAGGAACTCCTTGAAGGGGGGACAGACACCCTCGCCATGGACTAACCTCCATAATGAAAAAAAAAAGCCAGAAGTACCCTACAACCGTTGGGAGTCAACCTCCTCGGAGCCAACGATAAATGACCTAAGATCCTACAAATGGGTCTGGACATAGGCAATCTCAGTCCTGCCTCCAATATGTCCTAAAAGAAAACGATCTCTCTAGAAGAATCATAGCACGCCAACTCTTCCTTCTCGGCCCAGTGACACATAACAGTGGGAGGGATATAGAATGAAGATACAATGCGAGCCAGGTCATCGTCACAATATATGGAACTAAAGATAGAGGTTACCTTTGACCCGTCACTTTCAGAACCCTTTTGCCTTGGTGCAAAGCTTGTGTAACATCCGTTGTAATATCCCTACCAGATCGAGCACTTGACAAAACAAGAGCTAATGAAAAAAGAGAAGGGGTGCCAAAATTAACGAAAATTTAAAGGATGAACAAGATCAAGTTACCTAGTCGAGAAACGACACCTCGTTGCTCTCTCGACGCTAGATAGTTGCCCGGAGTCCAGTTCATCAGCTCCAACGCCAGCCACGCCAATGGGCAACGTTCCTATACTTGTGCCTGAGTCCAATTTGTATCTGACTGCACCCGATCTGTCGCGAAGCCCATGGCCTTCGTCACCACCATTGGCACCACCTAGCTCGCCACATGGACCAGTGCCACCCAACCGATTGCCTCTATCGCCCAACACCTCTTTGGCACAACACATGTCCCAGGCGTTGCCCAGTGCGACGCTGGTGCTGCCCAGTTGTCCTCCTACGTTGCCCAACCTACTAACACCCTGCATACCATGGGCGTCACCCACACCCAGCCTGCTGCCGCTGTCGCCTCGAGCATCATCTACACTTGGGGCATCACCTTTATTGTTAGCACTGCTATGAGAGCCTACTGCACTTGGTATCGCCCCTGGATTTGCCATGGCGTCGCCCAGGCTTTGCCAAAGCGACTACAGTCCCCAACTTCACCACTGTGGTGTCACCTAGGGTTTCGCTCACCTTCGTCAACTGCTTTCACGTTTCCATGCCTTACCTTCCTCGTGAGATTTTCTCTTTATAATCTATGAGGGTGAGAAAACGGGGAATGATGAAGAGGTGTGGATAGCCCTTGGGTATTGTATATGTGTTGTCTAGTAAAGCATGCCCTACATGAAAGAAGGGTCTTCAGCTAATGGGAAACCCAGAAGAGGAGATTGGATGCTAGGCAGATAAGATTAGGTGCTAATGCAATGGTTGTCCAACCATGTGTTATCAACTGAAAAAGCTTCGTAAATGCAAAAGGATGAAGAAACTACTGAGGGGAACAAGAAACCTAGTCTGCCTAAGTGAAAGTGCTCACTCATGCCCTCAACCTCCTATTACCACAAGAGCTTGGAGGCATGACCGACAAATGATGAACTCAGATCCAGTTGGGTCTAGGCCCAATTCGTAGGTTAAGCCCAAATAGTAAAAAAAACAGGTCAAGCTCAGCTCATGGTCTCGGCCCAATCCAAAGTTCAAGAGACCCAACAAGATCAACACACATGAAGAGTAATTATCGGGATAGTCACTGCTATAAGATAGCTTATATCCTTAATTATAAACATCTTTAATTGTAACTATCCTCCTCGAAAGACTAGCAGCCTGATCTTCACGGCACCGCCTCAACTTGGACTCCGTGTTTATAATTTGTAAGCCCTCTACACCATGAGAGATATCTCACACCACACCTTTAGCCTGATCTCCCTCTCACGTACTACTTTATTTTCTTATTAATAAAATTCTCCGACCACCATTACTACCTTCAGTGGTTAGGTCACCTAGACCCTACCACCTAATTTTTGTCTCTTATTATTAATTGTTCTATTAATTACTTCATCAATTGTTTTGCATCATACACTCGACTAATTTGATTGTACATAACCTATTTTGTGTATCATCAATTAACACTTATTATTTGCTAAAAAAAAAAAAGGCGAAAAGAAAGGTTAATAGTGACAATGTTTTCCATCATTTCCTAGCACATGCAAACTAAAAGGCAGCCGTTCCTTTGGATAACACATCAGCGGCCGTGGTATCAATAATGTTGTTTCAAGTTTTGGTGGCAGTCTATAGAGCTGCTATAAGTCCCTGTCCATTTCATAATAGCATACATAAGAGCTTGATGTAGAGAGACATACCCAAGTTGCAATCTATAGATAAATTATATGGTCCATTGAAATCTATAAATATCCATAGAATATGGATAAAGATGATAATAACATTTACGATAATTTATTTTTTACTCGTGTATTTTTTTACCTTATAAATAGGATTGCATGCATTGTATTCAATTACCGTGAATAAAACAGCGGATATAGGCCTTTTATTAATTCCCAATTGAATGGCTGAGGATGCTCAATAGTTGTTCGTACTATTCCCAACCAAACAGATTGCCCCTACAACACCAACATCAGGATATATAATGTATATATATACTCTTACATATTTGTATTTCTAAATACTACACTGGTTCAATATGCATAGCTGCATGTTCATTCTTTTATATGCAGACTTGGCCTGTATGAATCGATTCTAAATCAACCCTGTTTGAATGAGAATTAAAACCTGATCATAACTGTTTGTATGGTAGCGAAAAGTCTCCAAAATAACTGCAACACAGGTTTGGAACTGTGGAAAAATGGCCAAAGACTGGACTCAAGATGAAGTATATTCAAACAAACATTTCCACAGAATCATTGGGCAGTTTTCGACAGGATTAACATCCAACATAGATAGACACTTAAAATCTAGATACGACAATCAATAAACAAATAAAACAGTCTCATTAATAATAGGAAAACCAGGAGCTTGCCCCTTTCATATAATATATGGTATTTATGAATTAAAAACAGTTAACCCACATACTGCCAGCGCTGTCATAAGTCAGAAAACAAATGCAGACTAAAAATTATAAGTAAGAAGTCACAAAAATTCCAAGCATAGAATCTACTAATATGATGCACTCTATTTTCTGGAAAAACAGAAGACCATCAAATAGGACAATTAAATAATCAGGAATGAATGCATAAAACTAACTGAAATTACAAAATAAAATGTTTTTGGGGCAGTGATGGTAGAAGTGGTTGCCAAAGTAGTGGTAATCAAGAAAATTACATCATTCCTGTGCTTCACTATACATTTCTTCCATCATTGCCCACCAAAATGAATTAAATTTTTTTGAACATGTTTTCTTACTTTACCTCAAATTATCATTAGAAGTTGTGCTGCAAGAACAAGTGTTCTTGAGGAGAAGCTGGCCCAATTTCTTCTTCCAAACTTCTCAATCCATCACCAACACTTCCTGCATTTCCCAAGTTTCTGGCTTCCGAGTTCTTTCCATCAACATCGGCATCTGAAACTGAGGACTTCCTCCTTTGAGATGAAGCAACACTTGGAAAAGTGATCCACGAAGGTGCCCTGAATTCAAACCTTTGGTCTTCGGAATCAACCACATCAGTTTCCGAGGCTGACCGGTTAGACGATCTTTCAGATGACTTTTTGTGCATTCTACTGCTTCCCAACACCACCGCCGTTGGCAAAATAGGTTGCTCATTACTGGGGTTACCCATCAATAGTGCAAGTGCTCGCTCCAAAGCTGTTGTGACCTTATCCATTGATGGTCTCTCTTTTCCTCTCATTCTTACACATTTACTAGCCACATTGGCAATCTTTTTCAGAGCATCAAGATCAGACGGGGGTTTTAAAACAGGATCCAAAATCACTTGTATAACTCCAGACTTGATTAAAGGAACTGCCCATTCAACTACATTTCCTTCTTCGTATTGCATATCAATGGCTTTCCGACCACTGAGAATTTCCAAAAGTAAAACACCAAAGCTGTAGACATCAGATTTGGTTGTAAGGTAATGAAGTCTATAATACTCAGGGTCAAGATACCCAAGAGTCCCCGCTGGAAGCTCAGCCAGAGGAGAGCTACTATTGGCAGGTCCCAATAAAGACAGACCAAAATCAGCTACACGAGCATTGTGTTCTTCATCAATAAGAATGTTAGAAGACTTTATGTCTCGGTGAATCACAGGAGGGCAAGCATATCCATGCAAGTATTCAATCCCCCGAGCCGCTTGGACTGCTATAGTAACCCTCCTTACCCAATCTAATTGCTCTTTTAAGGCCGTGTTCTTGCCATGGAGGTGTTGATGCAACGAGCCATTAGCCATGAACTCGTAAACAAGAAGCCTTTCTTCACCTTCTTCACAATAGCCGAGTAGGTTGAGCAAATGGGCATGATTCAACCTTGAAAGGAGATCTAGCTCAGTGCGGAACTCTTTCGCATTCTTTTTCATGTCTGGAGAAATAATAGCTCTTTTAACTGCTACAATTGTTCCGTCCTTCAAGACCCCTTTAAAGACACATGAAAAACTTCCCTTTCCCACTTGAGATTCCTCTTTAAACCCACTAGTGGCTCTCTCAAGTTCCCCATAGGTAAACATTTGAGCTCTACTGATTTTAAACTCATCCAAGTCGGACCGAACTTTACCACTCTCTTTTTGAAAAGAACCATTCCCACCACTTTCTTTGGATTTCAAGCCTTTAACTGAGCACCTGCAGTTCCGTAACTTATAGCGAACGTATATTATTGCAGACAAAGATACAACACCCGCCAAGAACACGACAAAAGCAATCTCTGCAACAATGACTGGCAATTGAAGTGACCAACTCCTTCCATTCTTCTTTCCAACAGTAGCATTGGAATAAGAACAATTAGAAAAACATTCGGCCGAGATGCAACTTGAACAATTGTATGCGCAGTGTCTGTCAGCCATTGAAGTGCATTCAGCATTCGGGTACATTTCGGCAGGACAACCGGTGCTGCAGGGCAAGCAAATACGAGAATCAGGAGACAGGCAAGGTTTACTTCCATTGCTAAATTCATAGAAGCCTGTCGAGCAGGAATTAGGCTTGCAGAGTCCAGGAGAAACTGCTAATGGTAGGGAGGACGGAAAATCAACACCCCAACAAACAGGTAGCAGAGATGTTTCAGCTAGAACTCCACAAGTGAAATAGTCGCCAGCTGCAATACCATAAAGCCTAATGCCACTGGGTGGTGGGGTACTTCTCTCGACGTGATAACCCCAACAAACCACTCCATGATCATAGCTCCTGATTCCACAAGCGTGGAACCGTCCACCCACTACCAAAAGCATCGGGTCACTTGGAGCCAAGTCCACATTGGCCAGCCCCGAATGTACAACAGAAATTTCTTCTTCAAGGTCCAAGCTCCTTCCCCAACAAAAAGCCCTTGTATTCACCCCCTCCAAAATCCCACAGACATGGAAACCGCCAGCTGCAATCTTCTGAAACCTCATCTCCTTGGGAATTAGACTAATTACCCGGCTACTAGTCTCATCACCCCAACAAAATACACTCTTATTCTGGGAAAACAATCCACAGTTGAACTCAGAACCAGCTGAGATAGACTGCATCTGCCCATCGAACACATAGTTTGTAGTCATATTGTAACCCCAACAATCAACAAGAGAAGTGTTTCTGTGCTTTCCCATTAAGGGTTTTCTCAAACCGCACAAATGGTGATCGCCTGCACTAATTTCCAAGTATTCAGAACCATTAACCATGGGTTGAGGAACACCCATTTGAATAAAACTACTACTTCCCCAACAATACGGTTCGTTTGAATCCATCAAAAGTCCACACACAAAGCCGTTACCTGCGGTTAATCCAGTAAAAGGGATATGAACTGGAGTTCCGTAGATAATAGCTGAATTTGATCCATAGCAGGTTACAAGATGAGAACCATCTGATTTCAGGCCACAGAAAACAGGACCATACTCTCCATATGAAATGGCAATGGAAGCTATGGAGCCTAGACCTAAAACCCAACCCCATAAATCTAAAATCACCAAGAAGATTATGGTTTCTACAAGAAATCTAGGTTTGCTAGAGTGAACCCTCAAGACCCAAATGACACAATCTGTAACTAAAAACTTCAAAAAATCCATTACAAAAGCCAAACCAACTATCCAAAACAAACTCCAATCCCCACTAAAGGTTCCAGACACCCAGTTATGCTTCCAGCTTGCATTAACAAAGATTCCATTTCCAGGATGACAGCTTGCCCAGACAGCTATCTAAACCACAGGAACTCCTTTCTGTTCCCCTCTTTTTAGAACGTTGACATGGAAATTGCTAAAGCAGTGTAGATAAATGTCCATCACTAAACAGTTTTAAGAGGAGAAACAGTAATCAGAAGCACATATCAGAGGCTTGTAAAACAGACAAACTTACCGAGACTCAGGATCAAAAGCGTTGGGGTCTCTGTCCAATCTCAACCAAGAAAATAGCACCCAAAACACGCAACTATATTCTCAGCTATTCCTCACCAATAACCTTGTGAGAAGTTCAGGGTTCTTCATATCTCTCTGTCCAAAGAAAACCTTCAAACCCAGAAACTGCAAAATGGGATATCTGCAGCTTTGGATCAAGAGAGACACTCTAGATAGATGATCGAGCCAGTAAATATGTTCCTTTGAAGTTCATTCATAGCTTTGGCTCATTTCCTTGCTCTTCGACCAACTTTGGACAGTGTTGGTGGATAGTGAAATGGCCAAAAGGGTAGTGGAATTGTTGCAGTTTGCTGGAATAGTATCCAAGAATGAAACGGTGAGGGTGAAGGTGATGAGAGAGAGAGAGAGAGAGAGAGCAGTGGGTATTAAATGCAATGAAACTGCAGCTTCTCAAAATGGTTTAGTGCAGGTGAAGGCATTAAATGAGAAGTTAATGCAAAATTGATCTTTTCATGCCTGAATTTCTGCACACATGTCCACTATTTGGATTCTCATCTCGTGCAGTTTGGTGTAACATTTTGTTTCCATGCAGTCTTCACATCCTGTTTAACTTCTTTTTTTTTTTTTTTTGTGGCTGAAAATGGATATGCACGCTAGTTCAGATGCCCCTCAGTATCATAGAGTTATTTGTATACTTGATCAAATTGAGAGTTCAAACGACATGACAATTGACTTGAATTTTTTTAATTGATGTCATGTCATTTGGACCCCAATAAAAATTTCAAATAATCAAATGTCATATCATTTGCACTCTAAATTTAATCTTAAAATTTATTCAATGTAACATTAATCATTTGTAGATCTTATTACACTTACGGCCGAACCGAAGTTAATATGTCATCTCATGGTATGGGCATTGAAGAATAAATTTAATCATAACAAATTGTCGTAGTTATTAAAAATTCAAACCCAAATATTAAGCGAAAAAATCTAAATTCTTGCCACTAGACCAATTGGTACTTCTTGGTTAAATTTCAGTTTAGTTTTTCACATTGAATTGCCTCACTACACCTCTTTTTTCATATTTTGTTTTAGTCTCAGCAGTACAGTGATATATACGTTTGTTTACATGCTTAATCTTTGTTTATCTTGTCTTTTTTTCCATTTTCACTTTATTTTGTTTTATGGGTTCTGACGCCTGTAAATAGCAGAGAAGCCTCCTAACTAACCACCGGTAAATTCTTTCTGTAAATAGCAGAGATATATACTCTTGCGCTATTGCCTTTGTTTTAGATTGTCTCTTGAACTTTCAATTGTTTAAATTTATCTCCTAAACTATAACATTTATTTTAATCCATCCCTTTAGTTAAGATTAATCCGATATCTTATCCATTAAATGAAACAAATTATGTTATGATTTATTGTTAATCTATTTCATTTAATGATTAATCTTAACAGAAGGGATCGATTGAAACAAATTCCATGGTTCATAGGGAAAATTGAAACAATTAAAGCTTTAAGGGGCAATTTCAAACAAATATCATAGTTAAGGGGATATTTATGAGATTTATGCTTAAGTAGAAGGAAAAATCTAATTTATCCACTTTTGGTTTATGACCATTTACACTTTGTCCCCTTTATAGTTTAAAAACAATTACATAACTCTCAAATGTTTTTGGACTAATCTGCACCACTAATGCCGTTAACAGAAATTATTAAATTACTTCAACACCCTCGTTGTCTTTTTTGTTGCAAAAAAAGAGAATATCTGTCAACAAAACTTGCAACACAAAATTTGCAACTCTTTCTACCGATAGCGCATCGTCGGTGGCCACCCAAAAGAACACATCCAACCGAGCAAAACCACATCCTGCAATGACACAAGCCAGTAGCCCCTTTAATCATTTTACCCAATGCTTTGTGGATTTGGTTACTGACTATATCATTCTGAGTGAAGGGGTTCAAAAACTTTGAACCATTATTTGACAATTAAACCTAGTCACGTGGTAAAAAATACGTGTGCATATGAAGACTCAATTGAACAGACTGTGAATTGGCTGAGTAGATTGAATGAAAGCCCGAGCAAAAAGATATTAATCGAAAATGTTCTGCTTAGTAGAAAAACATTTTTCGAATAGGGAAGTGTGTGTCAAAAAGAGCTTAATGAAGTCTTAGAGCAAGACTAAAATTCGAATTAGAATTTAACTCTATCTCCAAGTGATACAACCTTATTTGACCAGAGTAGATAGCTAGGCTATCCTTAAAAACCCAAGGCGGTTAAAGAGATAAGACCTTTATCATTGATAAGATGCACATTATAAATATGTGATCTATAACATCGATTAATAAAATGGATCAAAAAATTAGACTGATGAGTATCTGGCTAGGCTCGGGGTGTGCAACCTTATTCGTACCAGGATTTTGAGCCCGACCAGGTTGGGGATACGATCATATAAATAGTAGATAAGCTTAAGTCTTAAGGAAAGAACTTCTTCCCCTACAATTTGTTTGCTCTAGTTCAAAATGCTTTATAACGTAAGCGTCAGAGTACCTCCGGTTGGTCAATCCTCAGTCCCTGATAAATTGTTCATTTTATAGGAAAGAGGCGCACTTTGTTCGTTACTCTAAAATAAAAAATCACGCTCTCAACTTCCATGTCATCATCTTTATTAGGTATGAAATTTTTCCCTCGTACATTGAGAGACTACAAACGTTAAGGCATATCTTATTGGAATATATGATTACAACTATGATTTTGAAGTGCATTTGACTATCGCTCACTGAGAAGGAGTCTTGTATTTGATGTCGATGATGTTAAAACTCAAAAGTGTGAGGCAATGGTTTGAACTGAGAAGCCCAAGACTTAGGAACAGTGGCTTGTGAGTATGAATAATATATGAGAAATCGATGTGTGGCTAAGCCTGAATGCTTTGTAAAATGCTACAAGAAACGTAGAATAGAGGGAAGAGCTAGAGATTGAAAGAGAACACACAGACTATAGTGGTTCACCAACTGAAGAGTTTGGCTAATCCACTCTAACGGAGTCTCTTATTCCTTGTGAGGTTTTCTATTGCTTGAGGAAGAAGATAAGGGTTACAATTGCAGATATTATGATTTGTCTGTCTGTACATGGGTGATTGCCCGTGCATTTATATTCACATGTGGGGTGATCCTCACGTCATCATCATATGGTCCCCTGTTTATTAGAATTTTGTTAGGGGAATATTTGGCCATTAGAAGCTACATTCCCTAGGTGTGATGTGATCTTCTAAAACATGATGAGGTGGCATTAAGACCTCTCCCTAAGTTTGGATACGTTGTGATTTTCCATGTCTATGAGAGGTCATTCTGTTTGAGTCGACATCTTATTCCTTTAGATAGCTCATGGATAAAGGAGCTCATTCTGTTTTCCTGATCTGAGCCGAAAATACTGTACTTCCTCATGATATGATATGAATGGCATGGATACCTTTATCTGAGGTCATACGTGGATGACTTGGATACTTTTACCTGAGCTGGACGTGTAATGGGAGGTAGGGAGACAGACCTCGTTATTAGACCCTTGCTAAAAACGAGATATAGAGATACCCTTTCACTCATTTTCAGTATTATTTTTGGTATCATTAGTTGCCCCCAGTCCCAAGCTTGACATGCCTATCTTAGGAATAGATTGGGACTAAGCCACTATGCTCCCAAGGTGTTGTTCCTTACTAAAATGATCTCATGGTGCTTTAGTCAGTTGAAAGGACATGACATGACATTTTCCCTAGGATTAAGATGTCGTGCAAGAGTGGGGCGCAGAAGACACCTTGTTTCTCGGACCGTTCAAGTTATATCGTGCCAGATGGAGAAGCGTGCAGGTGCATTTAATGGGCACGATGAGAATAAATCGCCAAAATCTTCCTACTTAAGCCTTCCAAAACTCAAATTCCTATAGGCTCTCAAACTTCTTTTTCAAATTCTCTCTACAATCCCTAGAGCGTTCTTGTGAGATTTGAGAGGAATCAATTGAAGGTTTCAGACGAATCAAGAGGTTTTGGGCTTAGGTTCTATACTATTTGATGATCATCTTTTTGGGACTTAGGTTCCTCGTTTTCTGGTTGCCCTTAACTTTTTCTAGGTACATTTTTATTCTTCCCTTTAACTCTTCTTTTTTATTTTTTATTTTTCATTTTTTATCGAACCTAGATCATTTTGATCCTTGGAGGTGGTCATAGGGTCTTCATTTTTTGGTACGTTGTTTTCTTTACTTTAGGAGGCTTAGGTAGGTCTTTAGCAGGTTTTCCCGACTTTTTGGACCCTTTTGCCACTCTAAGGGTTTTGTTGCTAGGCTGTTGGTGTTTAGATCCTCGTGCCATTGAGGATTGCTCTGAGTATATCTCCTTAGTTATATTCTAGGTTAGGTTACTTCATATATCTAACCTTAAACTTATCTAGGATTTCTTCTGCCACTAGGTCTTCCATCTCTATAATGTTTGGGGATAGAAATGAGGTTCCTAAAGTCGAGTCTTCCCCCCAAAGAAGGGTGATAGACTTGGTAAAAGATGACGACCCTCTATCGGTGTTACCTTGCTAGAAGAATACTTTTCAACACGAGGCTCCTTTTCCAAATCCTCCTTGAGAATATGCCTGAGGAGGGAACTTCTAGTCTGGGTAAGAAAAAGAGGGCTCCTAAGAAAAGGATTACCAAATCCACCCTAGCTGCTTCCTCAGGTGAGGTTAATACTTGAGGTAGGTCTAGAGACTTGCAGGGACCAACTACAAAGCCACGTGATCGAGTGCTGTTTTTCAGTCCTTGGTCAATCATTATCAATTTCCCAAGGGTGTTGAGGTCTATACTCTTTCAAATGTGGAGCGAGTTAATGTGTGTTTGACTGGAAAGACCTGCTTTTCTATCTCGTCCTTCAAGTCAAGCCTTCGATTTCCTATGCCCCTCAAGGATGTCTCCCAATTTTTGGGAAATTCTAGTCATTCTTTTAGTCTTCTGGAGGGAGAATGACTTGTGTGAAACTCGCTTTATTGCTAAGCTCCTTTTCTACTTCAACGTTAAGTGGTCTCCTATAGAAGACTTCTTTTATATCTCCAAATGACTCAAAAACAAAGCCCTAGTTGTAGGTACCCCTTCTTCCCATAAAACCTAGAAATAACACTTCTTCTATGTCTCTAGTGATGCTTGGGAGGTGGATGGGAATGATGTCTCTGATATCCTCCATGTACCTCAGCTTTGGGGGAAGCCCCAGAACTTAGGTGAATGTCAGGCTTCCAATATTTCTTCTCTTTTATTTTGATCTGTCTGTTCTGACCTTACTATTGTTGAATTTATAGGGTATTGATTTGAGCTTAACTGTTCTAAGGAGCTCAAGGTTGCGAGGATCGAAAAGTGTAAAACGAGAAGATTCAAGGAGCTTGTGACTTCAGAGAAGCTAATGAGGTACCACTTTGGCTCTCTAGTGGTTGGAAAGCTTCCAGCTCCTTCTCCTTCTGCCCTTTCTGTGGACGAGGACTTTCCTCTTGAAATCAATCAAGAATCCTTCTAGCAAGTGTTCTAACACTTAGCTTATTTTTCTTTTGATTTCTGTCTTTCCTCTAACTTCCTTGATTCATCTTGTGTTGTCCCTTTTAGACTTTGATCCTATGGCCCCTAAGCTAAGTGTAGTCCAAGAAACAATTGCTAAGAGAAAATTTAAGTGGGGACATCTAATCAAGCCCTTGGACCCCCGACTCTCCCCTCAACTCCAAAGTTCGATGAGTCAAGGTGGAGAAAACACCTGACCTGCCTTTTGCACTAGCTTAGGATCCCGAGGTCAATCCTACTAGAAAAAGAGGATCTTCCAATTGCTGGGCCCTCTCTAGCAACCCCTAAGGTGCTTGGTGTTCTTCCTTCAACACCTTCAGTGACTTCGGAGGTAGCCCCATCTATTCCTCTAAGGCCAACCTCGGTTCTTCCTCCTATAGAAGAGAATTCTCTTCTTACCAACACTACTCTAGCTGCCACCAAGATGTTGAGCATTGAATCTCGAGCAAACATCTTCAAGTCAGCAACATTTAGTGCTAATGATGAGGTTGCAAATGCCATCCACAGTTTTGCTATAGTATCAGTGTTGCCTTAAAATTTCTTTAAGTTCTTGCTTTTATTCTGCATTCTTACTTAGTGTTTATTTTCATGTAGGCTGCTATTGACATCAACACCTTTCTTGGTCGAGTTCAGAAGTCCAAGAAGGCATCAAAAGAGAGCAAGACTAGTTTGGTCATTGCTCACAAGAAGTTGGAAGAACAGGGCTCCCAGATCGATCAGCTTAAGTCTTTAGAAAGGGATCTTGAGGATAAATTGAAGCTCCTATCGAGCTCTAGAGAGATAGAGCTCGATAGGATATTCGATGTTGTAGACTCTACCAAGTCAAAGAAAGAAAAAGTTGAAAAGGAGGTGGTTGAGCTAAAGTTAGAGCTCGAGGAGTTGAAGCCAACTATAAAGGCAAAGGATTATATCATTAAAGACCTGAAGACTGAGTGTGTCGTGAACTATGCTAAGGATTATGAAGAATTCAGAGATCAAGCTAAGGAGAATTTTGATGATTTTGAATTTGACTTCTTTGTGCCTTTGCTTTCTGATGAGAATGTTGAGAAAGTTGGAGAAGGTCAAGCTGAGGGAGATTTGGAGAAGCGGACCTCTGACATTGAGTTGCATGTTATTGATCTTGACTCCTCCACTGCCCCTCCTATGCCAGAAGGGACTGAACAACAGACTAGGGGAGCTGATCTAGTAAGTTGAAGTGATGACCTTCCCTGAATACCAATAACTTTTTATGTTTTCCTTAGGAATCTGTAACTTCATTGCTACTTCCTTTCTCTCTCTTTTTTTTTTGAACTTGTGAACTTGTAGCTCTCTTTTTCTTTTGTAATGGAGCATGTACTTTCCTTTCTTTTCCTTGTGCAAGAAGTATCAATACATCTTTGCCCCCTTCACTTGTTGGAATGCATTTTTGTCTTGTAGCAATGACAAAATTTTTATAGTTTCAATGACTAAATCCTAGATCTTGGCAGCCCCTAGACTTAGTGACTTAAAAATTAGTTAAGATTTAAGATAGCTAAAAAGCTTTATAAGCTGAAGAGCTCCTGTTTAGTATGAGTTGAATATATATATAAGTTGAAGAGCTTATCTTATTTATGAACTGAAGAGCTTTATAAGTTGAATAACTTATCTCGTGTATAAGCTGAAGGGCTCATATTTAGTAGACAAGCTTAGAAACTAAGTTCATACTCAACACTCAAAATTTTTTTGTGTACTTAAGAATTTTTTTGTCAAGATTTTGGAAAAATTTCATTAATCTCAAATATTCAAAATTATCCTCTAAAGAGATGTGTTCATAAAGTTTAAAACAAAGGGTACCCAACCCGTCATTAGTAAAACTTCTTTAGGTGATCTGCGTTCCATGAGTGTGCTAGGTCTTTCCTTTCTTCATTTCGTAACTCATAATTGCTTGGTCTGACAACTTTTTTCACTATGTAAGGTCATTCCCAATTAGGGCCACCCTTCGGTTGTAATACTGCGCTGTTCTTTTTTGGTAAGAGGAGATCCTTTATAACACTTCATTCCTTTTTTCATCAAGGAGGTTGAGGTTCATGAGTAGAGATTGGCCATTTTGATCGGGATTCAAAAGTTCAGCTTTAGAAGAGGGAAGCCCGATCTCTACTAGTGCCACGACCTCTGTCCCAAAGGCCAAGTTGAAGGGAGTTTTATTTGTTGCTATTCGAGCTATCATTCTGTATGCCCAGAGCACACTTGGGATGTAGTCTACCCACTGGGTCTTTGATGCCTTCATCCTTATCTTCAAAACTTTGACAATCATTCGTATGGTGACATCTATTTGATCATTAGACTGCGGGGTGAGTTGGAGCTGAGAAGTAATTCTTTATGCCAACCTCTGAGCAAAAGTTTATAAAGGTCAAGTTGTCGAACTATTTGCCATTATTAGATATAATAGCTTTGGGGATTCCAAACCTGCAAACAATAGATTTGCAAATGAACCATTTCCTTCGAATCTTTCATCATGGTGGGCCAAAAATAGCCTTACATTAGTGCCTTATAAGTTAGAGTACAAGCTTCTATGTGATTTCCATAGATACCTTCATGAATCTTTTTTAACACGTAATTGGCTTCTCTTGTTGCCACATACTTCTGGAGGGGTGTAGAGAATCCTCTTTCATAGAGCTTCCCTTGGATCACCATGAATCTCAATGATCTATTTTGTAACTTAGCTACTTCCTTTGGATGAATCTCGATGAATCTCAATGATCGCACCAAGATAGGGTGCATCCATCTTGGTGCGATATCTACCAGTAGGACCTCATCCTTTTCTTGATCGAGGTGAATACTTGGTTCTTCAAGGTGCTCCATGGGGATGATTCTATTGAGCCTTCCCTGGGCTACTAAGGCTAGCTTGGCTAGAGCATCAGCTCGAGCGTTCTCAGCTCGGGGTATTTGGATGATTTTTGTGTGGATTAACTTTCTCAGAAAATCTCGCACAACCTTCAAATATGAAGTCATCTTATCCTCCCCTTGTTTTGTATTCTAATTCAATCTACCTTAATACGAGCTAAGAATAGCTGTGAATCACAAGTTGATGTACTTCCATGGAATTTGTTAGCCTAAGTCCAACTATCAATGCTTCATATTCAATTTCATTGTTTTAGGCCTTGAAGTCGAACCTGAGAGTGTACTCCAGGTCGATGCCTTCTAAAAAGGTCAAGATAAGCCCTGCCCCCATTCCTTTGTGCATTGAAGGCACCGTCGACAAAGAGTTTCCATATTAGGAGGTCGGAGAACAAAACCATGCTTCTCTAAGACCATTTTTGGCTCTGGGATTAAGGTGAAATCAGCTAAAAAATCAGGCAGGACTGTCCCCTTGATGGTTGTCCTAGATTTGAACTTGATGTCAAATTCTCCTAGTTTGATTGCCCATTTGACCAGTCGACCTAAGGACTCAAACTTGTGCAAGACCTACTTCATAGGCTAGTCAGTTGGAATCTTAATGGTATGAGTTTGGAAGTAAGGCCTTAACCTTCTTGTTGTTGTTACAAGCGCTAGAACTAATTTATCTATCTTAGGGTACCTCTCTTCTACTCCTCTTAGATCTCTACTGTAGAAATATAGAGGTTGTTGACTCTTCTCTTCCTCGTTTACCAAGGCCGCACTGACTAAAAATTTGAATATAGCTAGGTATAGGGTAAGGACTTTCCTTTGTTGTGGACTAACCAACACAGGATGAGAGCTTAGGTAAGTTTTCAAGGCTAGAAAGGCCTCCTGACATTGGTCATTCCATCGTAAAACTGCTTTAAGTACCTTGAAGAATGATTGCCAATTATTGCTGGATCACAAAACAAAATGATTGAGAGATGTTATCCTTCCTGTGAGATGTTGTACTTTTTTCATGTTGATGAGGGATTTCATGTCGGTCATTGCTTTCACCTTCTTGGGATTTACTTCGATCCCCCTCTAATTTACTATGAAACCCAAGAAATTCCTAGCTAAGACATCGAAGGTGTATTTTTCTGGGTTGAGCTTCATCCTATACTTCTTGAGAATTTGGAATGAATCCTTGAGATGTTGGATGTGGAGATCTGGCTTCAAAAAATTCACCAACATGTCATCGATGTAAACCTCCATAGTTGACTTCTCCATGAAGATTCTATTCATTAGTCGCTGATAAGTGGCTTTAGCATTTTTGAGCCCAAATGGCATGATCTGGTAGGAAAAGGTTCCCTGCTCAGTAACGAACGAGGTCTTCTCTGGATCATCTAGATCCATCTTCATTTTTTGTAGCTTGAGAAGGCGTCTAGGAAGTTCAAAAGCTCATGACCCACCATCGTGTCGGCTATGAGGTCGATTCGAGGTAGGGAAAAACTATCTTTCGGACAAGCACGGTTAAGGTCGGTGAATTCGATACACAATCGCCATTTTTCTTTGGTTTTTTTCACAAGTACCACATTGGCTAACCACGTGGGACAATCCACCTTCCTTATGACCTTGGCGTGGAGGAGCTTGGACACCTCCTCATTGATCACTTTTTTCTTTCTTGGAGAAAAGCTCCTTCTCTTCTACTTTATAGGTTTGTAGCTCGAGTCTACACTAAGCTTGTGGACGATCACCTTAGGGTCGATCCCTTGCATATCCTCTTGTTTCCAGGTGAATACATTTAAGTTGCTTCTAAAAAATGCTTTGAGCTTCTGCTTGACGTCATCCAATAGTTTGGATCCAACAAAGTCTAAGTGTTCTATGTCGTTGTCCATCTTTACGGGTTCCAACTCCTCTAAGGGAGTCAATCTTGTATCCAACTAGTCCCTCATGTCCAAATCGTCCACTTGCACGAAATCAATCTCTTTCCGCTTCATGGATGACACATAGCATTCTCTAGCAATCCATTGATCTCATCTTACAACCCCCCACCCCATTCTCAATGGGGAACTTCATCACAAAGTGGTAGGTAGAAGGAATGACCTTGATTGAATTTAGGGATGGCCTCCCCAGGATGATGTTGTAAGCGAAAAGTGCATCCACGATGAGGAATTTCATGGTAGTAGTGGTTTGATGTGGAGGGTCCCCCAGAGTGAGAAAGAGTTGGATTGAGCCCAAGAGGAAGACTTTCTCTGTAGAAAACCCGAGCAGGTGTGTTTTAACTAGATCGAGCTTCTCTTTGCCAATACCTAACTTCTCAAAGGCCCTTGAGAAGATGATATCAACTAAGCTCTTGTTATCCACTAGCACATGATACACAGTCTTGTTCGCAATGATTGCCTTCACGACTAGAGGGTGACACCTCTCTAGACCAAAGTCTGAAAAAGTAATCTCGATGCTGAGGTGGGGAGTTTTTTTGTACTTTTTGAACATCAAGGAGATGTTTTATCTTGACCTTCCTCACAAGGGCCTTTTTGGCTGAGCTGGATTCTCTGCCTCTTGCAAAACCACCAAAAATTACTATGATTTCACCTCGAGCCAGTTGATATTGTTGCTATCTTTCTGGGGTTGCTTTTGTACTCGTTCAGCTTGATCTTCACCTTCTTGAGCAACGAAGTGCCTGAGCTTCCCCCTATGTATTAGAAACTCAATTTCCTTCTTGAGCTGGATGCGATAGCTAGTGTCATGACCATGATCTATATGGAATTTGCAATACTTGGTGTGATCCCTCTTGTAGGAACCTGATTTCATCTTGGATGGCCACTTGATGTACCTCTCATTTTGAACCAAGCGTAATACATGAGCTACTGAGGTATTGAGTGGATTGAAGCACTCAGGTGCGTACTATGGTTATAGATTAGGCTGTGGGGGTCCCAAATGATCATTTACGTCTCCCCTATTCTTGGGGGATTGATCTCATCCTCTTCTTGGTTAACGGTCTTTTTCACGGCTTCTTTGGGGCTGGATTCCTTCATCTTTTTGTCTAAGCACTGCTTGGGGTGACTGATGAACCACCCTTTGAAAGGAGAGCTTCCTCTCCATTGATGTAATTCTCAACCTTTGCCAGCAACTCAGCCATGGTAGCATGAAGGTTTTTGGAAATTGAGAATAGGAGGTCCTTAGATTGGAGACCTAGACCAACCTTGAAGGTTGTCAAGGCAACCTTCTCATTTAGCCCATCTATTCAAAGAGATTCTTGGTTGAACCTCTTCACTAGCTCTCAAGGACTCATTAGGTTCTTATTTAAAAGTTAGCAGATGGTAAGTGGGCTTCATGTATGTCTTTGTGCCAATGAAATTAGAGATGAACTACATTGA